CTCCATGCGCAGCAGCTTGTGCCATCGTACCCAGGTCTGAGCGACCCCAAGGCACGTGTTGGCAGCTCTCCTGGAGTTCAGAGGAGCCTGGAGGAAATGGCTGTGTGTGAACAGCTTGATGGTGGGATGAAAGGAAGAGAGCCTGAGAGGTGTATTTGTCCAAAGGCTACAGGGTATGGTTGCTCCCGAGTAGTCTTTGACCTGCTGCTGGTGTGTTGTGTTCCTTAGCAGCTCCTGCCCTGCTGGTCACAGCCCACTGCAGCAGCAGGCCTGAGGAGATGAGGCTGGTCTCCAAAGGGGACCGCTGGTGGCTTCTGTGTGCTTATCTGAGGAAACAATTTCTAAGCAGCGTTGTTTCGTTAATGCAGTAGATACCTGTAGCATTCTTGCGTGTAGAGTGGACCTGGTCATTTATCGTGGGCTGCTTTTTGATCTTTCTCCGGAGACCCAAGCAAGGTTTTAGTGGGGATGGGGAGCAGTCACCCTGTGGCCATCCTTTTTCCTCGGCCTGGTGTGTTACTTCGCAGCCTGCTTAGTTGACCTGGTTTCTTCGTGCTTGCTCGGTCAATAGTCCTGTTACGCAGCTTGGTTTTTATTTGATTTGAGCTGGGGCTCCTGCCTCGGGCAGGTATCTCTGCTTGTGTGCCTCTCTTGCAGGCTTCTGGTTTGCCCTTGGTGGAGCTGCTCTGGAGAGATGCAGAGCAATGTCCCAGCCTGCTCCTGAGGACGCGCATCCAGGGCAGCATCTCGAGCCTGAATGTGGACAGAACATCTCTGCTCGACCCCAGTGCTGTTACCAGTGCTGGAAAAGCTGTGCCCTGTGTCCTGGACCGTGAGTGAAAAGCCAGGGCTGGTATGGATCCAAGGAGCGTCGCTGCCTCAGCCGATTGCTTGGCCTGGCTGCCATCTCTGGTGCTTGGGCTGCTGTCCTGAGGGCATGCTGGAGAATGGCATCAGGACGGAAAGGGGCTGAGACCGGCTCTACGTGACTGCTGCAGCCTGCCAAAGGCTCATTTGGCTTCCAGAGGTTGAGAGCTCCCCCAGGTTAGAGGGACTAACTCCTCTTACGCTACTAAGCGGGGGTCCAAGCCCACTTCTTTAGCCAAGGGTGTCAGACTGAGGTGGTGGTGCAAACCACGGTGTGCTTTCTTCTGCCTCATTGGAGGAAAAACTAATGACCTCCTTCTACACTTCTGTCTTCACATCATTGTAGCAGATGATTCTCCAGGTGAGGAGGAGACAAATGTAGATCAGGGGACAGCTCGGGGAGACTGGGGCAGAGAGGCAGCTGTTGGCAGAGCCTCTAAGAGGTGGAGGACACAGGGATACCCTTGCAGAGCAGTTAATGTTTCCCAAGCTGCCTGACTCCCTGCAAGGCTCGTGGAGGGTGGACAGGATCCAAACTGGTGCTGACGTGACCAGGCTTGTGGGCTAAACCGTCCTACGCTATCCTAAACTGTGTTGGTGGGAGCAGGGCAAGAGCTGTGGTGGATATTCTGATCTGAGCACGCGTTTAAGAGCAGGCTGAAACATGTGCCAGAGCTGTGCAAAAATCCAAGGAGGTCTTCAGCAGAAAGTCAGGAGAGTGTGGTAGGCAGCCAACGTGGACGAGCAGGAAGGGAAAAGGGAAGCACACAGAAAGTAGAAGGGTGGACAGGCTGCCCTGAAGGAGCAGACATTGCTTGAGTGTGCAGGGATGGAGTTGAGAGAGCCAAAGCTCAGCTGGAGTTGGACTTGGAGAAGCATGTGAAGGACAAAAAGAACAGCTTCTGTATCGAGAAGGGCTCTGGCAGCAGTAGGAAGGCTTTGGAAAAATGCAGGCCTGCTCCTTAATGGAGTAGAGGACTTGGTGGCAAAGGACGTGGAAAAGACCAAGGTACTCGGTGCTGCTCTTGCCTTGATTTTTGGCTGGTGAGGCCTGTCTTCAGACCTCCCGGGGCCCAAGCCTAATGGCAGAGTCTGAGGGAGACATCTGAAGGTGCTAATGAATCCAGCCAGTGTCATTGCACTCATCTTTGAAAAGTCTTGGTGATCTGGGGGGTTCATGACGCCTGGAAAAAGGCAGATGTCCCACCTGATTTCAAGAAGGGTAAGAAGGAAGATCTGGGGAACTACCCCACTGCATTCTCCAAGGAGGTGGCTGTCTGTGCAGACAAGGGAAAAGCAGTGAATGTTCATCTGGACTTTAGCAAGGCTTTTGACACAGTCTCCTGTAGCCTCCTTATAGCAGAATTGAAGACATGGGGGCTGGAGAAGAGGATTATTGGGTGCGTGGAAAATTGGCTGGGCCACCAGTGGTCAGTGTGGTCAGCAGTACGAGGTCTAACTGATGCTGGTTGTTCATGCTCCTCAGGGATGACTTGTAGGGCCAACTGGTCCTATCTTGGCTCCCCAGTGCAAGAAGTCAGTGAGAGGCTGGCGCAAGCCCGGCAGAGGCCTCCAGGACAGTTCCCACTGTAGCACAAGACGGGCGAGGAGAGGCCATGGGAGACTGGTGTGACCAGCCGGGAGGAGAGAAAGCGAGGGGGGACCTTACTGCTGTCTGCAAATAGCTGATGGGAGAGCGCAGAGAAGATTGAGCCAAACCCTTTTAGGAGGTGCCACAGTGAGAGGGCAAGAGGCAATGGAGACAAATGGAGCAGAGGAAACTCCAGCTCGAATTAAGGAAATCCTTTCTCGCTAAGTGTGGTCAAACATTGGAAAAAGTGCCCAGAGAGGCTGTGGGGTCTCCGTCCTCGGAGATGTTCCGATCTCAGCTGGGCATGGCCCTGAGCAGCCTAACTGGCCCAGCCTAGAGCAGAGGGTTGGACCCAGAGGTGAGCACTGGCCAACGCCGCTCAAGGAGTCTGTAGTGATCGAGAGCCATGGGAGAAGCTGTCACTGTGAGAGCACACAGGACATGGTCACTGGGAGGGCACGTGGGTGCCCATGACAGCACAGGAGCATCTGGGGCTGGGAGGGGAGCTGTGGGCAGAGGAAAGGGTGAAGTGGTGTTCTGGAGCCAGGGGTAAAGAGCTCCTACTGTTACCCCCAGAGCATGGTAAGTGCTTCAGCTCCACAAGGGTGATGTAGGGATGGAGAGGAGCACCAGGACCTCTTTCTGGGAAGGTCCTGGTACTCTATCCTAGAGTTGAAAATGCCCAGCCCACGTCCTCTGGGAGGGAAGACAGAGGAGATGGGTTGCTCTGGACATCCTGACATGCCTGGGCTTGTACAACAAGGCAGGGAATGCTTGTGCACATGGATGTCGTCTTCTGCCCCGCTCCTGGGGAAGATGTTCTGCTGCAGTGATGCTCAGTGTGTTCCAGCATGTGGGACCCAGTATTTTGAGGAATGAGCTTGGGATGTGGCTTGCCTGGAGCTTCTCTGTGCTTCTAAGCTTCAATAGAAGCCATCTTCTGATGGGTGCAAGGGGACAGCTGCTCCCTCCATGTCCTGAATATCCTTCCATGACAAAGCTGGAACCTGGTGTCCCTTCTGAGACATTCAGATACCAGCAGCCTGGTCTCCTGTCATCCCGGAAAAGCCAGAGATCCAGCCAAGACTGTCGTTGGCGGACGCTGACTGTTGGGTGATGAACACCTTGTGCCCTTCCTCTTCCTGGTGCTCATCTGCCTGCTGACGTAGCTTGGGAGACTCAAGGAGGTGCCTTGGCAGAGGTTGGTCCCTGCCCTGAGCCATGTTCTCCCCAGCCACCTCCTTGAGAAGAGCTGCTATGTGTTGTGGTTGGGCTCTACGGAGACGCCATCCCAGCAGGTTGATGGCTTCCTGCCTTTGCTTTCACTCTGAAGGTGGTTTCAGAAGCGCTGCGGCCCCAGGTGCATGCGGCAAGAGAGCAACGTCGCCCAGCCCTGCCAGGGATCACCTTCTCCTGAGTTATTCCACCTCTGGGAAAATTCCTCTGGGAGCCCCCGGTTGGCAGATTGCAGCTCAGGCAGCCTGGAGCTTAGTGATATGTCAAAAAGGGCAATTTAGGGGACAAGGCAGCTGGCACCCTCCATCCCAGCTGATGCTTGGTCATGGGGACCCAGGCTGCTGGCTGAGAACAGCTCTGCCGGCTCCCTCAGCACCTTCTGCTGAGTGTCTGGTAGGGCCAGCTGAGCCAACACTGAGAAATGTGGGGCCCAGTGAAGTCCTGCAGCACTGCACAGGGCACGGGACAGCTTTCCGCTCTGTCCTGGAGCGCATCTGGACTTTTGCCTGGTCCAGAGCCTTCCCTGGGGAGCAGCGTGGTTGATGTGCTCGCTCCTGTTGCTCCAAGGAGGCCACCTAGCCTCTGCCTCTCATCCTTGCTTTGGGGCAGTGGTTTTGTCATTTTTGGCATGACACCTGGGGCGTTTCTGCTCTGGAGAAGCCCTGCCTGCAGCACCCTGCAGTGGGCACCGGCGCCCATCCTCTGGAGAAGCACCCTGCGGTGGGCACCAGCACCCATCCCCATTACCTCCCCTTGCAGATGCTCGGTGCAAAGCGATGGGGCTGGGCTGACCTCCCGGGGCTGGGCTGACCTCCCAGCGCTGGGAAGGGTAGAGCTGCCCTTTTCCACGCTCACCGGCCATCTTCAGGCAGAAGTGTGTCCCCATGAACCACCCCGGGGGGCTGCAGGGCAGGAAGAGGTCATGGACCCTCAACCCTTGAAGGCTGGAGCCAGGGGGAGATGCTGCTGCTGCTGCTGGCTGGGAGGCACTGGTGGGGTGTCCTGCTCACCCAGGTGAAGGCACGCGGGAGGAGAAGGGCTGGGCAGGGATGCCCTCTCCTCCTGGCGGGGCCGGTGGGCTGCGGGCGCTGTCGCTTTCATTTTGCTTCTCTTGCTCAGGCGGTAAATCTTGCCTGACGGGGCAGGAAGAGGCACCGAGTGCTGGGAGGGGGAGGAGGCGCTGAGGCGGCGGAGCTGCCGGTTGGTAACCTCAGCGCTTCCTCCCAGCAGGGTGCCCTTCCCACGGCACCCAAGGATGCTGCCCTGACACCCGCATCCCTGGGTGGGTGATCCTGTGGTCCCAACCATGGCCGTGTCCCTTGGAGGGATCCCCGCTGAGCTGCAAGGTAAGCAATCGCCTGCTGCCGGGGCACCGATGCCACATGGAAAGCACCAGTACGGGGCCTGCTCGGCCCCAGTTTGCTGTGCCGGGGTTGGCAGAACTGTTTTCGGGTTCCTCATCGGCAGCAGCTGCAGTTCAGGGGGGTCCGAGCAGGATCTGGGGTGTGAGGGCTGCTCTTGCCCTCAAAGCTCGCGTGCTTGAGGATGCTGCTCGGGCCAAAAGCATCCCCAGAGAACGGGCTGGATGCTCAAGGATGTGGTTCTCCATGACTCCTGCTGCCCAGTTTATGGGTGCAGCCTGGTGCTGCTCACTCCCATGGGCTTGGGGTCCCCCAGCCAGCTGGGGGGCCCCAGCAGCTCCCCAGGGAGGCACGACCCGCAGCCCTGCCCCGGCTCCCCAGCAGCACAGGGGATGCACGAAGTACCAGTGCTCCCAGCCTTCCCTCGTTTGATTGAAAAAGCAAAAGGCCACGGAGGTCTCGGGGTCCTGCAGCCTCCCCAGCCCCACCGAGGTTTGTAGTGGGGTGGGAAGGAGCCGCGTCGCTGCAGCTCCAGGTCCTAGCTCTACTAGGATGGGTCCTTGGGGACATGTGGCTCAAGGTACTAGACCCACGGGGCTCTCGGCAGCCTGGGCAAGGGCCGGAGCGAGTGGCGTTGTTGTGAAAACCTCGTTTGCATAACGGTGGGCAGTTGTGGTTCTCGTCCCACTCCTCTGAGCCAGAGGTGTGAATCGGGAGAGCTGGGGAGGCAGCGCGGGGAGGCGATGCTCCAGGCAGGAGCGATGCTTGCACTGGTCCGTAGCGACTGTGGGAACGACTGGTTTGCAAATGTGGGGAGGTTGGCGCACACAACCACCTGTGCACGTCACGGCTGGGAGAGTTACTGAAAAAATGCAAAAGCAGAACACATCCCTGGCTGCACCGTGGGGAGGCAGGACTTGGGTGCCGAATTGCTCCCCAGTGGTAAATTTGGGAAGGAAGGGAGAGAAACCAGGACCCTCTTGTCACTCAGCGCCAGCTCCCAGTGAGTAAAGCAGCATTTGCAGCGTAAACCAGCGACCCCAAGGCCCTGTGCTTGGTCGAGGCTGCAGCGTGGGCTGCAGAAGCCCATGAGGAGGTGGATTTATCACCTGGGCAGCAAACCAAGACCCAATGCTGGTGAAGACACACGTAGCTTAGCTGAGAGAGCAACCAGGGTCTGACCATCGGGTGTGGATGGAGAGGAGTTGATTCAGGCGGGGACGTGGCGGATGGTGTCCCCAAGGGCAAGCAGGGCATGTGAGAGAGGACCAGGGGTAGCTTCAGCCACCTCACTTCATGGGGACGTCGGTCTTTTCAGAGGGCATCACCACCTTCCTGGGGACAAAGAAGGTGGTCCTGGTGATGAGCGTCCAGCTGCAGGTGAAATCCAAGTACGACGACTATATCTTGGTACGTGCAGAGTCCGGCCTGGTTCCTGCTTTCCCAGTTTCCCCAGGCAGCTGTTTCGTGGCCGCAGCGGGGGACAGGGGTGGTTCGCGTGTCACCCCAGTCCCCTGTCACACCAATGTCCCCCTGCATAGGTGCTGACGCCCTGGCGAGCCTACGTGCTGCCAGTGATGCTGCCAGTGAGGGTAAGTGCTGGGGACCCTGCGCCGCGGTAGAGCCCCGTGGTTCCCGGGAGGGCATCGCTCAGCTGCTTGGGGCACTGGGGTGGGTGCTCCGTGGGTCACCTGGGCCACCGGGTCTGGGAAGCTCCCAGGAGCAGGATGAGGAAGAGGATGGGGCGAAGGGGAGGGGGGTTGGGATCAGGGGGCTGGTGAAGGCTGGGGGGCATGGCTGGGCACTACTCGGGGTATGGGGAAGGGTGGGAGATGGGAGGCACCCTTGGGGTCCCCCTTCTCCATCAGAGCCGGGGGCTGATCCTGCTCCTCTCACCCACAGGTTCACAGCAGCTTCAGCTTCCTGGAGGTGAGGGAGATGACGGTGCGAGAGCCCAGCTTGGTGAGTGGCACCCCCACCCACAGCAAACCCAACCCGGGCACCCACCTCCCCCCCTGTGGCAAGCCCTGGCCCGGAGCCCACCGTGGGGTCTGGGGGAGTTCTGGCCCCCCAAGTTATACACTGAGCATCACCAACGATGATCTGAGAGAGCTCCGCAGGGTATTTATTCCTTCACCACCACTAAAGAAATCCTCTTATGGCCTCGCCCAGGGTATCGCCTTTGGGGCTGGAGGGTGCAGAGAGGCACCCAGGGGTGCTGGGGACGAGCGTGGGTGCCCGTGCCTCTTCCCCTCCGGCAGCCGCAGACAGCGCCTGGCCGTGGCACCTCCCGCTCGGCAGGGGCAAGGTGACAAATGGCTGCTGGCTTATGGAGGTGCAGCCAAATTTAGCAGGAGGGTGTTTTAAACCCCATTAATCCTCTTAGAGAGAGGCGTGCACGTAGGTCAGATGTGGCGGGGGGGGAGCACGGAGGGGAGCAAAGGGATA